CATCCAACTTTTAAAACCCTAATATAGTCACCGCTATTGCCACCCTCTCTATCACTCATATTATACCTTCTTTCAAGATGAGAAACCCTAACTCTATCATGTCATCACCATCAACGCCAAAGAATATGTTTCTACTTATGTCTCAAGCCGCACATCGGTTGAAGCTTAATCATCTGAGAAGTTGACTAGATTAAAGAAATGTTTTTTGTTCAAAGAATACTTCTAAATTATAGGTACCAATTTGTTTCATGATTATTGAATCGATTTCAGTGCATTGTTGGTTCTATTCAAAGATTTTCTTATTAATTGGAATTTTATTTCATTTTGCACGCCATGTGTTCGATGAAATGTTCGATTCCAAAGGTACATGAAGCGATGCTTTCTATATGTTTTTTATTCATTTCAATAGGGTTGGATTATTTGATAATGCCCTTCATGAGTGATTATCAGACCCAAGTAAGGCTGAAATATTTGCTTATTAATGTAATAAATTCTAAAATTAATTGTTATGGTAGGATGAATACTGATCAACTTAATCAAAAGTTGAAGATGTTGTTAGAGTTGCAGTTGAAACTGAAGTTCTACCTGATCCAAATAAACTTTAGAAGGTTTATATCCCATTATTGGTGTTTGATCATCTAGCCGTGCCCCGTTAAAGTTGAAGGTGTTGTTAGAGTTGCAGTTGAAATTGAAGTTCTATCTAGGTTTTTTAAATCCAAACTGTGGGCATATGCATTCACCTCACTTAATTATTGGTGTTTGATCATTTACCCGTGCCCCATTAAATTTCTCTATAATAGGCGGGCTTAGAACTACCCAACTGCTATTAAACTTATAGCCATCTCTATCAACAAATTCTGGTCATATGACTCAGAAGCCTCCCTAATGTTTCTTTCAACATATATAATGGGATGGTTTGCATAACTCGATATGTACTTCGCCAAGTCCATAGATGTAGCTTCATTTGAAAATGTTGAGAACATATGCATTTGATATATAAATTAATGACTCACTGCCAAAATCACATCCATGTACAATGTTTCTTTCTAATTTTTTGTAAGTACTACAATCTGTTTCATTACAAGTTTTTGCTATAAGAGACACCCCTTTTCTTACGATCTTCAAGAATCTTTTCTTTATTAGAGGGAACCATGAAATTTTTAATAATGACCTTTCTTTATTGTTATGTATTTGTGTCTTTTTACTTAATCTCTATGATTTTCTTCTTGGCAGTGTAGGTTAATAATGTGAATAACGTAACCAAGTTGCTGATAAGTAGTTATTTTGTGGTAAGTTTATCTTTCTAGCATCACGTATGCATCCTAATTTTTATTATTGCTAATGTATGTGGTAAAATCAAAGGGATTGAATATGAATGGTATACTATGATCTATCTGTTAGATTTTAATCCTTCCTTTATGATTGACATGTAGTTTTTATGCCTTATGATTACTTATTACTTAAAATTACTTCTCTGAATAACTGTCTATTATTGGTTGTTTAGAGTAAAGCTATCCAAAAAACTACAATATGAATAAACCTTTATGAGTTTTTTTTCTTAAAATAAGGAAACAATGAAGCTAATAAATTTTATGACATGTAAGTGTGATTACTTTAATCAGATTTTGCTTCTATTTAGTTTGGAAAAAAACATTTATGATCTGTAAGTTTTGTTGCAATTTTCTACCAATTATGTAATTTGATTTATCTTTATTAAAAAGGTTTGATGAAACTAGGGAGCAAATCTCGATAGCCTTGCAACAACTATAAGCAATGTGGTTGCTTGAGAAGTCTATAGCAGTCGAATAATCAGTATAACTGAAACCATCCATCATAATTCTTTTGAATATTTTTGCATTTATCACGTTTTGGATTAAATGCATAACAAAGCATCATACTTCCGTTTTTGTGCATCATGGAATCCTAATTTTATTTTTATACTACTATAAATTCATGGATTTGATATGAAATGTTACAGATCTCCTATAACATGTTTGCATTGTGCTTGCAGCGATTGAGCTGTTGTAGATGATCAAGTAGTGAAAATGCCTTTTAGTGATATCATGTGTGCCTTTCTGCTACTGCTAAAGACTACACTTTTTGCACAAATACTTATCATATTATATTAAAAGAAGTACATGATGCTGCGCTTTGCATTCCATGATAAATATTTGTAGTTTTATTTTTTTCTTGTATATCTATAATAACCACCAAAGTGACTTAAGAAAAAGAAAATATTGACATCGAAATAGTAATACATGTTTTTGGGTTAAATGAAAACAATGCAATGCACATTCATATTTGTTTATCAAGAGCTTGACTTTTTCTGCAGTAACTAATTTCATAATTTTACATTAAATCTTTAATTACAACACATGTTAATGGCATTAAGAGACCTTGTTAATAGGCAGAACTTCAATGGAATTGTTGAAAACAGCGAATATGAGGATATTAGATGACAACTTGAAGAGACCATGCTTAATATGCTTTTTCTATATCCATTTTCATATTCTGGTTAATTCATTTTGAGTTTGTATAAATTTATTCAAACAAAAACCTTCGTTTTTATTCAAAAACATTAGACTTTTATTTAAAGGCATAGATACATGCACTTCCAACAAATGTCTTTGAAAGTACAAGTTTGTTTTGATAGGTTCTTTTTTACTATTATGGTACCAAAAACACAGATTTCGCCTGAATTTAGCCTAAAAATTTTAAAAAGTAGGTTTTAGGAAATATAAGATTTTTTTTTAAACGACAATTCTAACATACTCCTAAACTACATCTTAAATTCACTTATGTCCACGACGAGATTTGAACCCTCAACCTTAAGGAATGAGGGCAACATCGGATACCGCTGAGCTAGAAGTCCTTTGGTAAATATAAGATTGTTAATCGTAATTATTATTATTATTATTATTATTATTATTATTTTCTTTGATATTTTTTTTAATATCGATGTCATGTATGCAATTGGTGTGTGTTTATAGAAGTTTGCTTATCAACACATATAATAAGATATAATAAGTCAATAATGGTAGAGAATAATTTTTCATGCTATTAAACTTGATGACTAGACTGTAGACCTCAACTGAATTACCAATGAGTTTTATGTTAAACCCATTATGTAGACTTTGCTCTTTTAACGACAAATACATTTTTGTAATTTTTGGTGATATTATTTATGATCTATAGCATTTGAATGGCAATTATTATTTTTTTGGACTTTGTTTCCAGAATAGTTTATAATACTTTTAGTTGCAACAAAGCGTTTAATAATGTTTCAGTTCTATTCTTTTTTGATTTTTAACATAAAACCAAAAATTCATTTTTCCTACAATAATAATAATAACAATAATAATAATAATAAATGAAAAAAACAACATCCTTATATTTTTAAACTAAAACAATAACATAATTTAACTTCTAAATAATATTCTTTTTTTCTAAGATTAAAAAATTTCCATTATTTCTTCTAAAGATTTAATGATGATTTATCCACCAAATCTAAATCTTGAAAGTATATTCAAATCCTATATAAAGGTCTCCACATAGGTATCTATTTATCTGTTACCCGTCTGTTTTGACAATACTAATGTATTATTGAATCCTGAAAAAAAATCAACGATGACAAAGTCTATATATGCCTCAAATGTGATGTATAACGAAGTGTCGCACAATTAAATTATACAACCAAATTAGTGATTATATATGCATTGTTTTGAATCTGAAACAAAGTATCTTCGTCTAGGCATTGATCAGTCGCATCGCTTGAACTAAGCTCACCGCCTAGACAAATTGAGGGTCTCCACCTAGGCTTCGTTTTATCCATTACCCATCGAAAAAAAAAAAAGTATAAATCATCATTATACTGAAAAAATGAAGATTTAATCGGCTTTGTAATCAACAATGTAGATTTATATAAAAAAGAACAATGTATATTTATTTTTAATCCATAACAACCTTTACTTTTATAAACTTTTTATGCAAAAGAACTAATCACTCTAGAAACTAATTTCTGAAGAACAAAAAAATATCCACACCCGTCGTTTGGCGCGGGTAAACGGGTAGTATATATATATATATATATATATATATATATATATATATATATATATTATATATATATATATATATATATATATATATATAGTTTATTGTACTTTCTATATAAATTGAGAAAGAAAACCAAAAAATAATATTAATAAAGAAAAAATAATCAAGTATAATAAACGAAGATTCATTTTGCCAACCTATAATGAGTTTTGACCCTTATTACTTTATTATATTTTTAAACCTAATAATATCGATATATCAATTGTTAGTTTTTCAATTTTTATAATAAAAAGCCATATAATACTTCTATATTTATATATATAAAGTATTAAATGTGATAAATTTGATAATAATTATAATTAATAGGTTTCTTTATTTATTATTTTGAAATTTTATTTAAAAAATACTTAACGTTTATATTTTAATGTTTAATCTTTTGTTTGATAAATCGGTATAATACATGAGTTTACACCTATTTTTTATAATAAAGTAAGAAAAAAAAAATAAGTTTTGTAATAAATTAAAAAAAAAAAAACCATACCACCGTTGAAGGAAATTAAACCCCTATTCATTCAACGATGCATTATATTTCTATTCAACTAGCATTCTATTAAACTCCCGATGGAATCCCATTGGGATGGCCTAATTGCAAAATCTGAAGCAACGATAACTCGCAAGATATTTTGAACATTTGCATTATTAATTATTAATATGGTCAACTCTAAAAAACCAATATTTTCATTTAAAACTGACGCAACTAGCTAGCAGCTGCATACCTTTGTTGACAACTATTCTGTAATTTTCTCAGTCTTTGATTATTATAAAAAAAACACCATCCAAACATAAAATATCTTATCCTAACTGTGTTTTTATGGCAGTTTGGCTCGATCACCTTAGCTCTTCACTATTTACGTTTCTGTAAACACTAACGTACGGTTGCAGTAATGGAAACATTGCCCCGTTCCATGCATTCTCCTTTGATATCTCACAAATATTGCAATTTCTCTCGGATCAAGAACATGAAATCTCGCCAAGCACACATTGTTTCCATCTTAGGAATCAGTGAAGGGATCAATCATGGAAGAATAACCAAAAGCTTGCAACATCAACATGATATACCTATTCCGATGATCATGGAACAAAGAAGAGGGTTTGAGAATACACTGAATATTCCAGCGGATTCAAGAAAACCATCGTCAGAGCTTTCGTTACTCGAAAACATATTTTCAACACTTGATAGAGCTATTATCAAGTTCATTGATCCTCCACTTCACCTATCGGTTGATCCGAGCTACATCCTTTGTGACAATTTCGCACCAGTTGATGAGCTAAGCCCCACCGAATGCGAAGTCGTGCATGGGTTCATCCCCGCATGCCTTGATGGTGTCTACATCCGTAATGGACCAAACCCACAGTTCCCCCCTAGTGGTCCCCACCACTATCTTGATGGCGATGGGATGGTGCACTCCGTTAGGATCCATGGAGGTCAAGCCACTCTCTGCAGCCGATACGTGAAGACAAACAAATTTGTCTGCGAGCACCAAGTTAAATCCTACATTGTTCCAAATATCATCGGAGGCATGCAGGGACTTGGTTCCTTTGTTGCTCGTGCTGCGGTGTTCGCTGCACGAGTTGTTTCGGGGCATTATGATATTGGAAAAGGTATCGGTGTAGCAAACACCACATAGCGTTTTTAGGGGGATCGTTGTATGCTTTATGTGAATCCGATCTTCCCTATGCAATCAAAGTTAGAGATGATGGTGATATAATAACGTTAGGTCACCATGATTTTGATGGGAAGCTTCGCATGAACATGACAGCCCATTCAAAGATAGATCCGGAGACGAAGGAAGCTTTCTCGTTTCGTTACTGGGGAACACGTCCATATCTTACTTACTTTCGGTTTGATGCAAATGGAAATAAGCAACCCGATGTCCCCATCCTCTCCATGAAACAACCCTCTCTAACTCATGACTTGGCTATCACCAAAAAGTACGCAATCATCTTTGATATTCAACTAGGAGCGGATCCGATGAACTTGATCCGTGGAAGAACGTTAGTAAGTGTAGACCCAAAAAAGGTTCCAAGAATCGGTGTTCTTCCAAGGTACGCAAAGGATGAATCGGATATGAAGTGGTTTGAGGTGCCGGGATTCAATATCTTTCATGCCGTCAATGCATGGGATGAGATAGATGAAGATGGCGGCGAGGTGGTGGTTTTGGTGGCACCCAACATATTGACAGTCGAACACTTCCTTGACCGGGTTGACCTGATCCAAGCATCCATGGAGAAAGTGACCATTCATTTTCGGACTGGGATTGTCTCGAGGGAAACTTTATCGACTGATAACTTGGAGTTTACGGTGATCAATCCAGCTTGTGTTGCCAAAATGAACAAGTAAGCGAACACCTATTTTTCAACAACTATATAACATGATCAAAATCTGCCGCTGTCTAACGATATAATATTGACATTATGCAGGTATTTCTACGCAGCGATCTCTGAGAAAACGCCAATAGAATCGAGAATGATGAGGACAATAGGGGTCGCAAAGCTGGATATTGAGAAACGAGAAGATAATACAGATGTGCATGACCACACAGTTGCTCGTCGGATATACGGAGATAATTGCTTCGGAGGTGAACCTTTCTTTGTTTCAAGAGAACCGAAGAATCCAAACTCAAAAGAGGACGATGGGTATCTTGTGTCGTTTGTGCACAATGAGAGCTTAGGAGAGTCGAGATTCTTGGTGATGGATGCGCAGTCACATACACTAGAAATTGTGGCTGAGGTCAAACTGCCACAACGAGTGCCTTACGGTTTACATGGGATATTCGTTAGAGACAACGACCTCAATAAGATATGAGCATTTAGACCATCACATTCAACTCATATAACTACAATAGATTGATAATAGATTGATACATGTAAATTATATTCATTATACAATTTTCCCAAATAAACTCTACACTCAATTATATCATTTTCTTTTTAATTATTTTTACTTTTTAAATAATGAATTATTGTTATTGTTAAATTTTACTTATATTTTAAATAATTAATTAACATGAAATTAAAAATTTAATTAAAAATTTAAAACTACAGTTCAAATTAACGTTAATTAAAAATTTAAAACTTAAATTTTAAAATTTAAAACATAAATTTTAAATTTTAAAATTTAAAATTTAAAATAATTTTTTTTAGTATATATATGGGGAGCGTTTAATCGTGAATATTTTTTATTGTGAAAACAAATTTGAAACATATAATTTTTTTTAAACTAAAATCATCAAATAATATTAATATAAATCAAGCAATATGTAAAAAAAAATTAAAAAACTCATTAACACCACCACACGCCATAACCATCCATCACCACCACTCGCCACCACCACCCTACCCACCACCCACTACCATCACCACCACACGCCATAACCATCCCCCACTACCACCTACCAAAGCCACCATCACTACCATGCACCCACCACTCACCATTATGACCACCACTCGACACTACCACTAACCACCACCCACCACTCGCCTCCACCACCTATCCTCACCACCTACCGCCACCACCCGCCTCTACCACCCATCACTACCACCCACCACTACCCTCACCATCCCACCTTCAATATGCATCACCACCCACCACCACCACCCGTCTACACCACCCACCACAACCACCCCCACCCACAACCCATTAAGATTACCACCATCACCATCGACCACCACCACCATCACCACCACCCACTTCCATCACCCATCACCACCACCTGTTAACACCTCTCCGCCCATCACCCACCAAAACCAACACCAACCATCATCGCCACCACCACACACCACTTCATCACCATCCCCACCATTCACCGTCAGCATCCACGACAACCACCATTGACCCATCCACCAACTACCTACCCTAACCACTCATCACTACCACCCACCCACTACCCACCATTATGACCACCACCCACCATTACCACCAACCACCACCCACTACCCATAACCACCACCTACCATCACCACCCACCTCCATCACCCCCACCACCACCCACCTCTACCATCCCCACCTACCCATCACCACCACCACCCGCCAACACTACTCATCACTACTACACGCCACAACCACCCCCACCCACCAAGACCACCACCACCACCACCTATCACGACCACCCACACATCACCTTCCAAAACCACCACCCACTACCATCACCACTACCACCACCCCCACCCACCACCTACCAAAACCATCAGCACCACCCACCAAACCCACCATCTCCATCCATCAAAACCACCACCTACCCATCCACCTCCACCACCCATCACTACTACCCACCCACCACCTACCATTATGACCACCACCAACCATCGCCCACCACCCGCCTCCACCACCACTACCCCACCAACCCACCACTACCACCACCCACCACTACTACGCATCTCCACCATGCGCCTACACTACCCATTACCACGAGTCACCACAACCACCCCTACCCACCACCCACCATCACCACCATCCACCACCACCACATCCCACCTCCATCACCCATCACCATCACCCTACCCATTTGAAGGGTTTTGAGCATATCTACATTCCTATGTGATCATGCAACCCTAATTGCTTTGGATCTAAGTTTTTCTCTATTGAACATATAAATATGAACACCAAAGAAATAACCCTATAAACTAGCAAGCAATTTTGATTTTCATATATAAATTACGGTTAGATGATTACCTCATTTGTTATGTAGTAATAACAACAACCACCTTGACTCTTGAAAGCTTAGTGCACTAATTTTTACACCTCTAATGGAGTCACAAACACTTAACACAACAAGGATGAGAATGAGATATAAGAAATTTGCCAGGGTTTCAATCCACAATGTATGAACCGATTTTCTCATGTATTAGGGGGTTTATATAGCTGTTGGTTACTAGGGTTTTCAGGTGGAAACCCTAATTCCTTGCTTAAGGCTGACGAAGCCCATCGACTCTTCCTTATGAGGCCTTCAACGAAGTCTATAGGGCATTCCTATAGGATTTTGTCCACTCATAATTAAGGTGTCCAATAGCCCAGTTCTGCAACTATCAATTATTTTTAGAACAACCCTCCATTATTAATCAGTTCCTTTAATCCCAAAAGTAATATCAAATTAATTTCTAATTAACTACTAATTAATAATATGATTTTCAAATAATATATTAATCTTATAATATATTAATAAAATCATTCTAGGTACCAATTTATTATTCATATAATAATTCCTACTCTCTCTCCACTAGTCATCCTATCAAGTTGCATGAGTGAAGGCAACCCAAAAGGACCATGCTACAAATCAAATCAAGTACATACCAATTATAGTTATGGGTTTAGACACCTAATCCAACAGTCTTCCACTTGGATAAGTCTAATAAGTATTATTGCAAGTATGACTTTAGAATATGACTAGCAATTGTAGCTTTCAAAAGCCGATGTTGAACTCTGATCTTATCAGTAACACGTCCTTTAGATAAGTGATCAAATACTCCTCCATTCGACAAGATATCGTATGGACATGAAACATAAATTATAATCATTCTCTCTGTCCATGTGTTGTTTCCCGACTTCTGATTTATAATGACTGACTCAGACTACAATTGAACGCATCAACTTAGTCACGGCTTGGCCAAGCGCTTAGGGTGTCATCACTAAATCATCGAGGGGCCCACATATATCGCTTTTATCCCATTTATGGTAAAATGAGCGGATAAACTTCGACTCATATGCTTGTACTATTTACTCATCAAATCACACACAACAATACGTTTTATAACATCGAGTTACTGATGCGTTTACGTATTATCATTGTGCAAACGAATCGCAAACAACAACTATATGTCTCCATTTCAAGAATATAAGATATTATCATCTTACAAGCACTCATGATAAAATCCATGAAGTGATTCAAATGAGCGTGGGTTTAATCCAATACTCAAATTATTACTTCAGGAGTACTCATGAACACTGAAACAAACATCTGGTATGTCTAAGCACTTAGACAATCTACAGTCGAATTCATGATAGTCTTACCTCATTACTTACTTCCAAAGTATAATTGATTGTGGATGTTTGAATAATCTTATTATTCGGGAAGTAAAACATGCAAAGTGAAACACAAGAATAACCTAATCCAATATGGTCTTAGAACTTTTGAATATAAATAAAACACTTATTATTTAATCATCATATTGATTAGACCTTATTCATTGTATAAAGTTTCGAACAATCAATTTAATACTTGACTAAAAAAATAGTCATCACATGCTCCAAGCATGCACACTATCTTCATATATGGTCCTTCCTTTGTGAAATAGATCAATTGAACACATTTCCAATGATGCTCATTTCATAATTTCCTAATCTTTATAAGTGTAAGAATACAAAATTATTGTCAATAATAGAATGTGTTAGAGTCTAAATTTACATGCAATAATCCTTTTGTAATGTCGAGGCTCCAAAGTCACAGAGACTTGGCCAATGATATTAAAATGCATTCCATTTGAGATTGTTACACAACAATTCCCCGGAAATGAAGTCTCACATTCAAGGTACATTCCTTGAACATCATTCTTGCATAAAAGTTTCTAACTTAGATATAGATTATTAATATCCAACTCCCATTAAGGAAACATTTCCATACTTGCCATATGGCAATATATTCTTAAAAAAATCCTATCTATTCAGAATTATATCAATATGGTCCATCCATTACTATACTTCAATCTGTCAATAAGAAACCAATCTTCGGTATACCCTAGATTGTCCTTGACAGTTGTTTAACAACTTTAGTCATATCTGGTTCCAGTCCTTTTTCCCTCTTAATATGCTAGGCATTTGGAAAAATCAGAACAAGCGAATATTATAGCATATGCAATCGATCCTATACCCGAAGCATATGGGATACGATTCATAATGTCTTACATAAAGACATGATACTTGACCAGTATCTTGCTAAAATATTCTCATATATAGAATTTCCTATGTTGAAACATTTCAACACGACATTCATATACGTTCATGACTAAGTTCTATTAAAATTTCAATCTAAAATTTTACATTTGAAATGAAATATAAATGTCTTATCCCCTTACTATAGCGAAACAATTTCCAAATCCCGCAACTTTGCAAATTTAGAACTTTGTTTCATATAAATAGCATTACTAACTTGCAACACTTAACATAATAATCACACTCCCAATAGCATAATAATTATGTTCTTATTTGCATAACAATTATGCTCCCAAAAGCTTTGACATGTACTCAGAACTCAGTTGGACTTCTAGAAATCAATACTTATTGACTTTCTTACCAAAATTTAGATTTATGATATGCAATGCTTCAATAAGTCTCTATCTAGACTTCTCAAGCTCATACATCAATTATTAGATAGCTCATGTGTATTTCTAAACCTTTTCTGAACTTATAGCAATAAGTCCCGAATGTTCAAACTATTTGCAATTTATCATAATTCGAACTATGAAAAAGGATGTCGTAATCATACTCAAATTTGAGGACGCAATTACCACAAGTGGTTACTCTAATCCTTTAAAATCTACTAGTGGAAGCGTTTCCTCATAATCAATTTCATGACGTAGGGAGAAACCTATGGCCACTTAGATTTTATGGTGTATATGTTCCTATCCATGTGAACTTGTCATTTCTAACCACTATCATATGACAAGGTTTATGACAAATTCAAACTCATATGGACTAAACCTGATTATTCTTAATTTCTTGCCATCCAGTAGCATAAGGGCCTACCAGTGCATCCAGGTTATTGATCAGCTCACCCACACTGATCAATGTACTTTCACTGATCAAGGTGTTTTGCCTTAGGTAGTCAAATGAGAACTTATAGGAATCACATGCATAGTCAACATAACTGGAATAGGTAAAGAAATAAGAATATGTCAACACGATAAGTCATTAACCTCAGGTCGTTTTCT